CCAAGCAGCATCATAGGAGCAGAGAGGCTTCTCTGCTCCTATGATGCTGCTTGGCCTGCTGTGTTCATCCAGCCCTGCACCTTGTTGTCTCATACTTCCCAAACAGTTTGCTTGATTTCTGCGACCTGGCTGCTACACCAATACTCTAGCTGCACCTAATGCTTGCAGGTGTTGTTGTTTGGCTACAGTTGTTTCAAATCATCTACCATCTTCGCTAAGAGATCATTTTTGAAAGCTATTAAAGACAACTCAGTTTCCAAGAAATCACAGCCCTTGCCCTTGTCACGACACACACTGATAAACTGATCAGTTGATTTTTGAGGCTGTTGTCTGTGAGACATCAGCTCCAAATGGTAAATCCCAAAGTTACCTTTTACATGAAGCTGATCCTCCAGCATGGTCTATAGATTATTAAGGTCTTTCTGATGTTAATGAGTAAAGCTCAAAGTGTTGACTGTATGCAATTCCTTGTTTGAAATGGATATCTTTATGTTCATGGATTACTTATCAGGGTCTGCATCAGCTAAATCTAATAAACAAAGCTCCATCCTTTCTTTAAAATGCCTAATTTGGGTAGGACATCTCTTGCCTTCCAGTTCATTCTGGGGAATTTGGTAATCATCTTCCTGGTGCTTCTATCATTTATAAATACTGTCAATGAGTAGAGGATGTATAGACTTGCTACAACATGGGGAGATTCAGCGATACAACTGCTGTGTTTTTTGTTTACTTTTGTAACATACAATTTAAACACTTGGACAGCCCCAAGATCGTGAATCAGTATTTCTTTATTCCACTGGCATCAGATCTTTACAAGCATGAAGGGAAATTAAGGTTAAACTAGGAAAACAGAGTATTTACATAGAAGAACCTTGGAATTAACATTGAGGAAATGTTGAGGAAATCCTTTGTTGAGACTGTCTTTTCCTTTCTCCATGAGACCTCTTTCTCACAAAAGACACTCTTTCATCTTGACAATGCAAGCCTTCCTGTTCTTCACCATTTGCCTCTAAATGCCATGTTACATTTCTTCACTGTTTGTTGCTGTGAACCAGGTTTTTTCCTGTCTTCTACATTGTTTCCTTTAAAACAGAAATGGCAGAAATGAACCCAAGAACATTTTAATAACCCTGCAGCTTCCACAACCCATTTCGAAACTGACTGCTGCTCACATGAACCACCAATCTGACCCATCCACAAATCTTGTACTTGCTGTCAACCAACGTTGTTTGTATAGTGATTTTGCCTCCATGGATTTCAATGTACACACAACTTCTGTACCAGTTTCAAGTCTTGGCTGAGGCTTTTCCTAGGATCTTCAATTTCAAATTTACATCGCTGTTTTCATGTTGTCTAAGTAAGCCCAACACTGAGCACCATTTCGACGTTTTGTTTTTACACACACATATTTACCATTCTTATCCCAGGACTAGCAAATACTTTTAGGTTCTGCTTATTTGAAGCTCTGGTCCAGGATTACTCAGCAGGCAGTTTTGTGACAAAAGCTCATAATTAATTGTTTCAGGAAAACATAGCTACACCCTTTTATTACATGCTGCAAGTCAGACCGGCAACAACTGCTAATCACATGTTCTACATCCAGGTTACATGCCTAGAAGCGTGCTACTAAAATGCTATCATAACAAATACTATGACTTGGCACTCTCCATTCACAGGACTTTTGTCTCAATCTGCAGTCAGAATGGATGCAGCAGGTGCATAATTTCAGGCTGACATGCTAGTTTACCAGCACTGTCCCATCCCCAGGCCATTTTTCTGAGGCTGGTTTAGGGCAGAACAGTTGCCTACCTGCAAGTAGCAGGTAATGTGTAAAGAAAATTAAGGTCAGTGTTCCGAGGACAGCTGCAGGTTCAACCAAGTCCTACTCCAGAGTGTTTTCTGCCTTATGGTAAGTCACATCTGACAATTAAGCTGACATCCAGGCAGGGATCCGCCTGGAAAAATAGTCAAATTTCATTCTATGCAAGAAACCATCTGAAACTCCACCTTTCTCCTGCCTGTGCAACTGCCCAATTCTATATTGAAGCCTTTATGTAAATTACATCACTTTGTATAATTAAAAAAGCTTTTTTGTCTTTCATTGATCTGTGTATGACATCAAGAAATGCAATATGCAAAGCTTGTCTGTTGTAAACTTGAATTGATCTGTTAAAGTAGAAGCTTAGTGCTAAAGAAAAGTAGTAAAAGCTCTGGCCTGATTATACTTCAATATTTTTCCATTTATAGATCATGCCTCACTGACTATGCAGCAGATAGTGACCAAGAGGAGACAGTTGAAGCTGAACCACAGGACACAAACGGGACTCCCTCCAGCAAAGAACAGAACTGGTCACCCCTCTGCTTGAAGCAAGTCTTTCCTAAGTATTCTCGACAATTCAGTTACTTGCTGATTGTGGACCGTATTGCTCTACTATTTATCAGATTCCTGGGCATTAAAGGAAGTATGAAACTTGGTCCAACAGGGTTTCGGACTTTTATCAGGTCAGTTAATTCAAACTAGTACAGTCTTTAGCATCAAATTTGGTTTCCTGAGATGTATATCAGACATAAAAAGAGGACTTTTGTTTGCTTACAAAATATTTATCAGCCATTTTCTGTTGCTTATTTACAATATCTTCACAATCTTTCACATGCTCTGGGAAAATAAAATTTCCATGCAACAAAATGCAGCAGCAAGAAAGTGAAATACGATTTATAGTATATCATTGTGTCAAACATGCATAGCAATTGATTTGATTAGTAATCAGATTTTCTATCTGTACTACTGTCAAGTTAAATTCAAATCTAATAAAACCATAACCAGCAAATACTCTTCAATTTTTTGGATAGACTATGCATAAAAACACACAACATTTTCACTTCTATTCATAAATAAACAATTTCACCTTCATGGTGTAACAATGTTTCTTTAGGCAGTGTCATATAAGAGCCTGAATAATTTGTTAGTGTTTTAGTCTAATAGCGAATGCATTTTAAACAATAAATCTATTTTGCAGAATTTTAAGCCAAGCATTCTTGAAAAAACAATTATTTGTAACTGGTGCAGATATCACATTTATGTGGTTATATTTAATACTTAAAATTTAAATTTGGTTCCATTATAACTCATCAATTTCATGCTAATTAAAACAATTGCTCATGAAAAGTGCTGTAGCACAACAATTTGCATTTATATAAGAGCAAAATTATGTGGCTTCTGGAAGTTAAAATAAAAACAGAAAATGCAGAAATCATAGACAAACAGTATCTTAAGGGAGAGAAACCATGTCAAGGTTTTAGGCCAATGACCCATTGGAAGTGGAGGAAGTGAGATCTGACAGTTTATAAAAAATAATCAGGTAGTGCAAGCTTAGGGAATAGAACTTCGTCTTTCTAAAAGATACTTTTTAACCACCCAGTCTCAACCCTGAGTCAACAACTTCAGGTCATAATTATTCTTCCCATTTTCTCAGACATAGGCTGATAATTGGATAATCTGGGGGAGGCAACAGCTTGGTGATATTACCACTACAGTATTAATCCAGAGACCCAGATAATGTTCTAAGAACCTGGGTTCAAATCCCATCATGGAAGATGGTGGAATTTGAATTCAATAAAAATCTGGAATTAAAGTGTCTAATGATGACCATTGTCGATTGTTGGAAAACCCACCTGGTTCACTGATGTCCTTTAGGAAGGAAACTGCCATCCTTACCTGGTCTAGCACTTATGTGACTCCAGACTCACAGCAATGTTGTTGATGCTTAACTGCCCTTTGGGCAATTAGAGATGGATAATAAATGCAGGCCAAGCCAGTGATGCCCACATCCCATGAATGAGTTAAAAAATGTTTCAGCTGTTGCTGGTTACACCTTCTCTAGACCCATCTTTTGTTTCTTTGTTGTCCCACTTACTACTCCTATTGGTGGACTAGTGTTCTTTAGAGAAGAAAATTGACTATGCTGACCTGGTCAGACTCAAAATATTTTCAGTCCCATGTACACATCAAACCATAAAGTCACTCAGCCAGCCATTCACTTGTGTCAAAACATTCTCTGACAACTAGTAATGGACAATAAATTCTGACTTTACCAGTGGCACCTATATTTTGGTATGAATAAAAATATTGACAACACTAATGCAAATGTCCATGGTGCTAAAGATCATTCTGCAATTTTAAGTTATTTTTTACATGTTGACTGTTATATGTTGTAGCTTCTCCCTGTTTCTTAACAATCTCCAGTCACTGACAACTGTCTATTCCATCAAGCCTGTTTTTTCTGTGCTCCCCCAAATTCCTTTGCTGCACTATTGGGACTTTCATCTGTCTAGAACAAAACCTGTAGTATTCACTCCTTAAACTTCTCTCCCTTCAAGTTCCATTATTGTCTGATTATGCACCTATGCAGCTCCATTAAATGTTTTACCAAAAGAAAACAGAAATAGGGTATTAGCAGAACAGAAAAGCTTTAAATTGATTTAAATGGAATGATTTAAATATGTTATTTTCATTAATAGATGAGAATCAATACTCGTTCATTTTAATCTATTTCACTGTTCATTATCTAAGTAAGAGAATCTCCATTCACACTTTGTTCACAATCTTCTCTATAAAAGAATTGTCCTTGCCGAGTCAAACCTGGATTATGTAAAATTTACTACACCTTGATAAAGCATACTTTACATTGGTGTCATTGTTTACATTTGTTATTTTTAACACGCACTTTTTGATGGGTTTGGAATACTTTTCCCCGTATCTCGTCTTAGCTGTAATTAACAGGTTATTTTCTACCTACAGTAATAACATCAACCCGTATTCACTTTTATCCTCCAAGCAGCGGAGACGACTTGTGTATTAACTCCCCAAATGTTTTTCAAACGCCAAGAAACTAATGTTTGAAGTATTGTCTAGTCTTCATCATTGATTGCTGTTTAATTTGCAGCATCAATCTAAAATATATTTCTTAATTGAATGTTACATACTGCAATTATGGCTTTAATGTTCCCATGCTCTTTGGTTTTACATTGTAGGACCTGTAAACTCAGCAACAGTAACTTGTCGATGGCATCTGTTGATATTTTATACATTGATATTGCGCGAAGATGGAATATTATTCGTGGGGACCGAGGAGAATCTGGTAACTAAATGTCTTCTGCCATTCTTCCTTGCATTCCTGACTGACTAAATAACTAATTGGTTATTTATTCTTTATGATTGAATGTGATGCCTATTTATTTTGTATACAGCTGAGTTTATGAGACAGAACTTTGGTCAATCCACAAGATGAAATCCTGGTTAAAACAAAATCATTCCAGTTAAATGCAAAAAAAAACTTGTATCGGAAATTGAATCCTCTTTTCTTTTATCTAGTTATAGAGAATACATGTTGCTGAACTATAAGTAGGAATTCTTAAGGGATTAAATAAATGCATGGCTCTTACTATCTTTCATCAAGGATTGGAACGCAGTAAACATCAAATCTGGATGTCAGAGAAGCAGAACTGAAAAATTGAAGTTGTCAGATATGTTTTCTCTTCAAATAAAACTGTTTATTAAAGATTAGTGCACAGAAGATTAATCTTTGCTATGTTCAAAAAGTTGTGATCTGTTGACAGCACAAATTCTTTGACAGTTTCCTCAGGCATTTTGAAAGGTTATTTGAATGTTAATTAAACTGAAGCCTCTCCCATCTTAGTTCATGTGAGGGTTTTTTTTTAATGCATTGCAATATTAGAACCAGTACATTTTAAACTACTTTGATTCTTTTTAACCCATGCCACATGTCAGTTTAAAGTTAAATAAGTATTTCACATCACTAGAAATGAAAACATTTAAACTCTAGAAGAGTTGAAGCCAACTTCACAGCATTGTAACTGAAAAATGACAGATAAAGATGCATTTAAGTAAACAAATAACATTTATTTTTTGTGGCATTCACGAAAGCTCAGTACTTTTAGGATAGGACTTTAGACCGCAAAGGAATTATTGATAAAAAAGAAAAGTTAATCTCTGACCTGTCAGATGAAATCTTTTATACCTTGTCGCTTTGCCGAAAAGTGGTAAGTTTTGTACATGGATATTAGTTGATTTTCACATCTGGTACTTAAATCTCTGCGTGTGAATTAGTGCCTTATCTCACTTATTGCTCTCCCTTGTTACTCAATTGAGATTGGGATATCATGGATAGAAATGGACAGGAGAAAACTGATTAAGTATAAATAAACAATTAACCTGGTAAATGTTATTTTGTTTAACTCAATTCAACACAAACTAGTGTAATCATTTATTTATTTAACTTTAAACAAGGAATGCTAAAATATCCAGCTGGAGAGCTTAGGTGGTGTGGGATTTGATTTTTAAAAGTAGCCTTGGCAGTCAGAGGGAACTGAAAACTGGCACAGAAATTGCGATGTGCAAATAACTTGTGGCCACTGATTGAAATGCAGACAGCTCATTAACTTGTTGCTGCCTGCTCATTACAATGACTTCTGCTTACATCTAGCACTAATCGTGCTGCAAACACCCAGAGTGAACTCAGAAACAACTCAGAGATAGTAGGAACTGCCAATGCTGGAGTCTGAGATAACAGGTGTAGAGCTGGATAAACACAGCAGGCCAGGTAGCATCGGAGGAGCAGGAAAGCTGACGTTTCAGGTCTGCACCCTTCTTCAGAAATGGGGGAGGGGAAGGGCTTTCCTGCTCCTCTGATGCTGCCTGGCCTGCTGTGTTCATCCAGCTCTACACCTTGTGAACTCAGAAACAATTTCTTCACACCGCTTAAAGCTAGCTGACAGTGCTTAAGGTTATCCTGCATCTCTTGAAGAGGATGACTTAAAGTAGATTTTGGGAATTGTGCATGAAAGTGAATTTGTGCTGGGAAGCAGTAAGAAATCAAATAATGTGGGAGAGACTGGCCATTGCATTGGAGACCTAAATGGAGATCATGTAAAGAAGGCTGGCTATCCTCTTTCCACAGTGGAGCAGGAAAAACTTTAACACGTGGTCAAAAGGAAATGGCAGAAAATAGTTGTTAAGATCAATGCCTGGAAACAAATTCTGGGCACCTGATCATAGAATCCCAAGAATTTCAGTGACTTCATACATGTGGTTAAGACCAACAAATGCATCTTCAAATACCTTACTGCCAACTGCGCATTGACCTCAGCTATTGTTCGGTGCATCACATCTCCTATCACATACCTAAGAGAAACCTCTATCAATTAGGATTCATAACCACTATTCATATGCTTGAACTCCTCTCACTCTTAGCATGGCTGCAAGCCTCACACCCATACCTCACACATGGGACGCACTGCCAGTTTTTCAAACATGACAGCCATATTATGCAGACAGATTGCGCCACGTTCACCAACACACTTTTTCTCTTGCAGGCCAAGCTGGCACACAACCAGAGGCAGCAGGAACTAACTGGAAGGGGATAGGCACCCTATATCTCATTGCCTGCATAAAGGAGAAGATGCTGGCCATTTTTGGAACAACCATGGCGAGTGCCAATTTTCTGATGAAGGGTCTAGGCCCGAAACGTCAGCCTTCCTGCTCCTATGATGCTGCTTGGCCTGCTGTGTTCATCCAGCTCTACACCTTGTTATCTCAGATTCACCAGCATCTGCAGTTCCTATTATCTCCCATCCTTAAACCTAATCCTCCTTTTCACATCCCACTTTCTCTTCATCCCACAATCTGTTCTGATTCTAATGATCTAAGTATGCACCACCTATTTTCAGGCCTTTCCCTCATGCCAACCTTACCCTTACACCTTTTTTCCTTTCAGAGATCAAAGAGACGCAATCAGTCCAGGCAGGTGATGAAGACATAAATAACCCAATCAGTGATTTTACACTCTTGGACACCAGCTCAAGATACTAACAGTGTACATATCCTAGAGGATAGGTTAGAAGAAAAATATGCACTCAACCATACACCAGACACAAGTTCTTTGCAGGCAGGTTAGAAGGCAAGCCCAGTGCAGGTGCCAACTCACCAGAGAGTAAAGTAAAACATGGGTTTCACTGCCGAAGACACAGATAAGAACTTTGACAAACAACTTAGCAAAGAATTCAGTTAAAACAGAAAATGCTGCAAGTGGTCAGTAGAACAGGTTGCATCAGTGAGAGAAGTGTTAGATTTTATTAAGCAAATAGGAGAAAGAGCAGAAAAAATATCAAGATGAAAGGTTGGGTTGGACTGGTTGGAAGGGAGGATACGTTGGGTTAAATTTTCCAGTATTTGGGCAAAGCATATGTTTGAATCAGATTCATGGCAGCCAATTTGCCATGGCCCATCACAACTTCTGTCATGCAATCTCCAGCTTATTAATTGAGGTACAGATCTCTTTGGCGTCCATCTGATGGAATTGTGCAGCAGGAGATGTGGTAATGCTCACCACCGCCAGGACTTTGTGACATTTATGCTACTAGTGCCATATTTAAACATCACCTACTCACCATTCAGATCATCCAAGCCAAGAATTACCTCTCACACTATGGTGTTCCAGCATTATCCCAAAGGAAATGGCCCTGAAAGGGAAGTTAAGTCCTTGTGTTGTGGACAGAGACCTCGAGGTGCTGAGGTGGTGGAAAGGAGAGGTCAAAGGATGACTACCAAGGGATGCCAAGTCACTAGGTTCAGCCAGCCTAGACTGAGATAGTGGCCTGGATCAGTATAGTGTCTTGGGTGAAATGGAACATAGAGCAATGCAGGAAGAAGATGAATGATCTTCTTTGCTCTGTAAGTATAAGTGCCACCATTTCTTTCTGCTACCTCATACTCATAAGGCCACCATACAATATATGTTTTTCACTACACATACCTCTCACCAAGGCTCATGGATGACGACTATTTCATGCAGTATGTCCATTGAATGGCTCTCATCCACTTCATCCTGTCAAACTACCAAACCATCCTGTCCTTGAACTTCCGACTCATTGTGAACACTTCACCACTTCTCCTGCTCCTGCATCACCACTAACAGCTCTCCCATCCGCTTATCATCACACTCAAACCTCCTTTTTTTTTAATTCATTCATAGGATGAGGCATAGCTGGCCAAACCAGCATCTATTGCTCGTCCCTAATTTCCCAGAGGGCAATTAAGATTCAACCACATTTCTGTGGTTTGGAGTCACATGTAGGCCAGACCAGGTAAGGATGGCAGTTTCCTTCCCAAAAGGACATTAGTTAACCAGATGGGCTTTGCCTGACAATTGACAATGTACTCATAGTCATCATTAGACTCTTAATTCCAGATATTTATTAAATTCAAATTCCACCATCTGCCTTGGCGGGATTTGAACCTGTGTCCCGAGAACATTACCTGGATCTCTAAATTAACAGTCCAGTGTTAATTCCACTGGGCCATTGTCTCCCCAACCCCATTTTGCCTCAATGCAGGAGAAAAAAGTCTCATGGGCCAAGAAGGACCTGAGGCAAGGTGGCAGACGTAAGTTTTCTCACCACACATGAAGAGAAAATGCTTGACTGGTTGGACGACAGTGAGACAACAGCATTCTCTCACTGGATCCTCTACCAGCTCAGAGAATTTCACCTCAGTGGCTTCTCAATCTAGGTTACACTCAACAGCACAACCTGGTGAGCATATCACTGATGTGCCTCTGCAGCTGATCAAGAAAGAAATGTCCAAGGTCTCTGACAGAGACCAAGCACCTGCTCAATCCCAGGCAGACCATGATTCCTTGGTCTCAGCTAATGTTTCTTTTAAGCTACGTCAAAAACTGTTAACCCAGCCCAGCCCACGTCCTATGAATAAATTATAAAAATCCTCACTCTGGTGCCCCTTCATCTCAGGGAGAGATGGTGGTGTCAACAGACCAACTAAGGGGAGCAGGGGCCACACACAGGACCGCTCAAAGCTTCTTATCAGGACACTAAAGGTGCCTGGCCTCTCTACCTCCCCACTGTCCATGATGCCGAAGCTCGCAAAAGTCCAGCTGAGCAGGGTGAGCGTGCATCTGGGCAGGATGCTCCTAGCAGGCCTATGCTATCTAGGCCCAAATACCCCTGGGGACAACTATCCAAGTCTTCCAGGCCAACAGAGTAGAATCCCTACACCCCAGTTTTGGGGGCTGTGATTGTTTTTAGACATAGTTGAATGGAAAAG